ACCTCAAGCTTTCTTCATTTTGTTTTGATCTTTTTTCTGATCTATCCCTTTCCAAAGAAGTGTTCGATATTTTCCTTCAATCTCACTAATTCTGTCTTCCATTGATTCAATTCTGCTCCTTTGCCCATTTAATGCCTTATCTATTTCTGAAAATTTAGTATTAATCTCCTGGATTTCTTTGTGTAGATTTTGTATTATTTCTAAGTTTTCATTTATTTTGTCATTTTGTTCTTGTATTGTCTTTCCCAATTGTTGTAGGGTTTTCTCCAGTTTTGTCAGTGTTTATCTTGACCTGCCTCTCAATTAGTTGAAAATCCCTAAATATAATCCTTCTGAATTCCTTATCAGGGAGTTCCGATGCTGCGTCTTCCTCAAGGATATGTTTTGGGTCTGTATCCGGGTCCTTTGTTTCTCCCATTTTATCTTGCTTCTTTGTGTGGACCGTGATGTTCCGTTGTCTCTGAGGCATTGTGACATTTTTGTGTTTATATTTAATTGGTCACTGTATGTTGGAGTGACTAGGCCACGATTTTAGTTTTCTTTGCTTTGTTTGTATTTGATCTATGCAAGCAGGGTACTGTGCTGTGCTTCCCTAGTCTCTAGTTGACAGCACTTATATAGTCACCACCTGTCTCTTTTCCTGTTGCCAGACTCATATATACCCCTGCTGACCTTGGCAAACAGAGCCTATTTTTAGGTCCCTGGAATCTGAATGAGAATGCTGTCACTTTAAAAATTCAAAATGGTTGCCACTTGTGAAGATTAAAAATAGCTGTGCCCTCAGTCACTTTAAATATCCAAAATGGCCACCACTTGTAAACATTCAAAATGGCTGCACCCTACATCACTTTAAATATCCCAAATGGCTGCCATGTGTACAAAATCAAAATGGCTGTATCCTCTGGACAGTAGAAAGTCAACAGTTCAGGTTGTCGCCCTCCTTGGTGTTTCCCTTCCTAGTCATAGGCCACCAGTGCAGTAATTTCTGCAGCCCTTGATGACCAGGGCTGATCTCTAGGTCAATTCTCTGGTCCCAATACCACTTGGAAATATTCAGTCTGTTGGTCCTGTCAGAGTAGCTGACAGCCCACAGCTCCGACTGTCTCTGTACTCACTGCTTTCGTTCAAGTTTTTCCACTAGTTGGTGCCTAGTCCACTTCTGTATAGTTCCTTTCAAAGCTCAGGGCTCCAGGATTATCTTCTGTATCTCTGGTCAATTGGTTTTTCTTTTCTTTGTTGAAGAGGGTCTGTGTCACTTGTCGGCCTATTCCTCCATCTTCTCTTTTGAATAGTCTTAAGAAAGCAAATGCTTGATATATTACTACAAATTTTGTAGAGAAACAAATACTATGTGATAAAATATTCATTCTGTTTGTTATCACATTGCTTGAAAGTAGGTGGTAAGTTGGTCTGGAAGTTTTTTGGAGGATGATTTGACTTAAAATATAAGCCAGTAAGAGTAGAAACAATTCTAAGGTGTGGAGGAAGGTAACATGAAATGAAAATGAACTGTACACATCTTGACAAAGATAAACGATATCACTAGAAAGTACAGAAGAAAAAACAACCTGTTGATAGCTCCTGTGGCATATACAATTTTGAAACAACAGCAAAAACAACCAAAAAATATATGTGCAGATACACATATGTAGTATGTAGACATATTTATATACATGCATATGTATGGGTATATGCATATATGTATGTATAGATGTGACTGTATGCACATTTATTCATATATATAAATAAAGCACATAAGGGGCACAGTTATGGAAGTTATGGATATTTCTTAGACATAACCCAACACCTTGTGAGACTGGATATATGGGTTTGAGGATAAGGACCATAGTCTTGTGGGGCACCCTGACATAATTGACATAATATAGCTCACAAAATTATGCTCTACATCACACTCTTCTGAGTTGGGGTCTTAAAAGCTTGCAAGAGTACAAGCATTAGCTTTACAAGTTTGGTAAAGCTGTACATTTGTTTTATGCCCTTTGGTATGTGTATTATATCCCTGGGTGGTGCAACTGGTTAACGAGCTTGGCTGCTAACTGAAAGACTACAGGCTTAAGTCCACCCAGAGGCAAGTTGGAAGAAAGGTCTGGAAATATACTGAAAACTCATCCATTGAAATTCTTATGGAGCACAGTCCTACTCTGTCACACAAGGGTCACAATGAGTCTGAACTGACTTTACAGCAACTGGTTTTGTATTATACTTAACAGCAAAATGTCTTTAAGATTAATATTCTGTTTTAAAAAAAATTAATGCTAACTGCGATCATTAAGAACAGCTCTTCTGGTCTGATAGAGCCTGATGGAACCACTGAGACTACAGCCCCTAGCTGCCCTTTAAGTCTGGAATTGAACCCATTCTGTGGCTTGCAGTCAAACAAAAGACAGGCATATAAGCTGAACATTTACATTAGGTAGGTATATTCCTTGGAGAGATCAATCATGGGAGAATAGAAGGGCTGTGTATGCTCAGGGAGACAGCTTGGGGGGCAAGAGTGCATGGGAGGGAAGGAGACAAGGAAGAGGTAACTACGGGGAGGAAGTTAGAGGGGAGCTGTTGCATTGTGGAAATTTCAGTCAATGTCATGAGACAAAGTGTATGTGAGCTCCTGTAGGGAAAGTGGATTTGCTCTATAAACTTTCACCCAAATCACAATAAAAATTAAAAACAAAACAGCTCTTCTATCAATTCATGATGTAATTTCACCATTCTTATAGGCATCTCTTTAAGTTGATCTTCCCATTAAGAAAACAAGTGTTTGCAGTAATTTTTTATATCATAATTTTTTGAGTTTTTGAAAATTTTTCTCTTCCCCAGAATGCTAGTTAACTTAATTCTTGGTTTTGAAGCTTAGAAGTAGATAAAAATTTTTAAATATTTTTCACTATTTGGACAAACATTTGAAAATTATAGTTGTCTATTTGGAGACTTTTTCTGAATTTATAATACCCAACGAGGTTATTTGAAAAAGGCTGATTTCCATCTGTCACAAAAACTGATTCTTCTCCCAACTGGAGACCTCATTTTCTGATCTCTGAGAAAATTACTGTTGTTGTTGTTGTTGTTTGCCGTCCAGTTGGCCCCAACTCATAGCGACCCCTCCTTGGGTTTCCAAGAAAGTATCACTACGGAAGTAGGATTGCCCAACCTTCCTTCTGAGGAGTGGCTGGTGGGTCTGAACCGCCAGCCTTCTGGTAAGCAGTCAAGTGCCTTAGACACTATGCTACCAGATCTCCTGAGAAAATTACTAGTTGAATAAAAATGTGTAACACTGAAAAACAGGAAAAAGCTTTTGAGCAGCCATCTAAGATGTAACTACTGATTTCTACTCATCCAAAGCAAAAGAAAACGAAGGAAATCAAAGACTCAAAAAAGAAACTCGCCTACAGGACAGTCTACAAGAATCACAACCTCATCTACCCTGAAACCAGAAGGACTAGATTGTGCCTAACTACCAATACGGACCCTTCTCATCATGGCTGTAATATATGGATGGACCTTTATAGAATGGGAGGAAAAGGTGGAACAGAACCTCAAATTCCTAAAACAAACAAATAAACAAAAGCCAGACCTACTGGACTGGTTGAGACTGGAGAACTCCCTTGGACTATTGCTTTGAGATACTCTTTAAACCTTGAATCTTAAGTAACCTTGAGTTTATCCTGTAGCTAAAGAACAAACTGACTCAAGAAATAATGAATATCACACATAAGTATTGTTAAAAAAATTTTCTATGTAAGACTAAGCAATCAACAATTACTTTAAAAAAGAGTTGAAACTGTAAGAGGTCAGGGAAACTAGATCAATGGAAATGGAACAACCAGAAATAATGAGAATGTTCATACATTGCAAAAAATATCACCAATGTCACTAAACAACTTGTGCAGAAATTGTTGAATGAAAACCTAAAATCTGTGTAAACTTTCAATAAAAACAATAAAATATTATTGTAAAAAAAAAAAGGATAGACAATTCACAGTGTAGGTCCTGGAGAGGCTTGTATGACTGCTGATAAAGATATACAATATTGGTGTGGACAGAAAAAAATTGGTTTTAAAGATGAGCCCCTTCATCACATTGGCAGATACTTAAAATAAAACTGATTTGCAGCATTTTCCAGGATGAATATATGCCAAGAATAACACTGAATGTTACAATCTTTGTATGAAGAGTTAAATGGGTGACAACACTATAAATAGTTTGAGCATTTGTTCAATCCTTTGTTCAAATAATAGCAATCGTTCAACATGTGGGATTTTTTTTTCTTTTACACTAGTGACCTTCAGTTCGTGGTCCCTGGGTGTGTGTCCAATGCTGGCCTATTAACTGCCATGAGCTGGAATCAACTCTATGGTAATGAGTTTTTTACTTCCAGTTAGGAAAACGCCTTAGGAATTTTTTAGAGACGAAACAAAACATTTTGAAATAAAAATGCCTATTAAGATTTAAAAACTAAAGCCAAAGATACATCATTTTGAACTTCCTCTCTTTAAATAGCTTAATCCCACTTTCAATGGATACAATATTTAAGTAATTTGCAATATCTTCTGTGAAAGAAGTAACAATCAATGATAAAGTTGCTAAGGTTCCAAATGGTGGGGACAAAAACAGTCTACACCCTTATGTCATAGGCCTAAAATTCTATATTCTTGAATAAAGACATTCACTTAAAATATAATTTTTTAAAAGGCCAAAAACTGCCAGATATTTGGATCAATAGAGTATTTTCTAGAGGCTTATTTATTTAAAGGAGCTCTGGTGGCGTAGTGCCTAAGGCATTAGACTGCTAACCAGAAGGTGGCGGTTCAAACCCACCAGCCACTCTTTGGAAGGTTGGACAATCTACTTCTGTAGTGATCGCCTCAGAAACCCCAGGAGGGGTCGCTATGAGTTGGGTCCGACTCAATGGCAATGAGTTACTTAGTTAAAAATATATAGAAATCTTTAAATACAACAATATAATCATATCTAAAACTTACCAAGCTGAATGTTTCTTATCCACACTGATTGTTTTGTTTCTTTTAAGATTTTCTCAAAGTAAACCCCAGCAAAACCACTTGAAAAACATGCTATGAGAACTGCCATGAGGCCTACAAATTGAGAGCCAGCTGAATGCTCCTTAGAATCAAGTTCTTGAGAATCTGAGGGCCACTGAACAAAGAGGAGAGAGAAACAAAATTGAAGTTTAATTCTTTTATATTTTACAAGTGCATATTTAGAGCTCATTCCTAGACTTTTGAGATAAATATTCAACCAATATCATTCTTGAGAACTGAAGAGAGGAGTATTTGAAGGAAAACCTTAGAATCATGTAATCCTATCACTACCCCCCTATTCTGGTTACCTAATACCTCTCTGACAAGAAAATACCACATATGGGATGGCTTAACCAAACAGGAGTTTAGTCTCTTACAACTTGGAGACTTTAAGTCCAAGTTCAAAGTGCCAGACTCTAGGGGCTGGGTAAAAGCTCCTCAACCCTGGGCTTCGGCTCTGCCTCCTGTTCCTGGCCCACTGGAGCTAGAGGCTTTTCTTCACTCAGACAGCTGCTGGCTGCTAAGGTTGACAAGTCCAAGTGTTGACAAGTAAAAAGGCACAGTCCCAATGTTACCAAACCACATGGCAGGCCATTAATTCAAGTCCATTAAAAGTCCCAAGATTGGCAGAGCATGGCAGGCTGCTGAACAATGACATGGCTACATGCAAGGTTCAAGCATGCCGTAAGCTAAAGACCATTCCCAAAGCTGTTTCTTATACACAGGAAGCAGACTACATCTCTAAAGCAGCTACTCAGTTGCTCCAATACATTCCACCATGGAGATAATTACCAATCTTACCATGGGGAGTAAGTACATCCAGCTGCCCAGTCACTCAACCAGGCCTAGCCAAGTTGACACACAAACTTAACTACCACACCGCCCCCCATAGTAATATTACATTACTGTTACAGCTTATCATTTTTTTAAAAATACTATTTTATATTTCATCTCTATAAAGATCAATCTATTACTCTGTGATAATTCCCTAAAGCTTAATTTATTAAAAAGTACCATTTTAAATATAAGTAGATGAAGAAATGAGAATGTTATATTCTTTCTCCTACCTTAGCTAAAGCAGAGATAAACTGAAAAGAGATGTACTAACTCAAACATAATAAAGTCAAGTTGGTGAAAGGTGAACCTCAAACACTGTCAAGGAAAGCAATCCATTAGAAAAGGAAGGAGAAGTCTGGATGCACTGTTGTTATGCGCCATCAAGCTGGACTTGACTCATAGCAACCCCTCCTTGAGTTTCCAAGGCGGTATCACTACGGAAGTAGACTGCCCAACCTTCTTTCCAAGGACTGGCTGGTGGGTTTGAACCACCAGCCTTCTGGTTAGCAGTCAAGTGCCTTAGGCACTACGCTACCAGAGCTCCTGGATGTACTGTTGTTGTTATGTGCCGTGAGTCAGACCCGACTCATAGCGACCCCTCTTTGGGTTTCTGAGGCAGTATCACTACGGAAGTAGATTGCCCAACCTTCCTTCCAAGGAGTGGCTGGTGGGTTTGGACCTCCAGCCTTCTGGTTAGCAGTCAAATGCCTTAGGTACTATACTACCAGAGCTGCTTTTGGATGCACTATTGTTGTTATGTGCTGTCGAGTCAGATCTGACTCACAACGACCCCTCCTTGAATTGCCAAGGCATATTACTATGGAAGTAGATTGCCCAACCTTCCTTCTGAGGAGTGACTGGTGGGTTTGAACCACCAGCCTTCTGGTTAGCAGTCAAGTGCCTTAGGCACTACGCTACCAGAACTCCCTCTGGATGCACTGTGGTGTGGGGGGTGGGATGTGCTAAAAGAATTTTCAATTCTCATGGAATCTAGACTATTTGAAGAAAGTGTAGCCCTGATGTAATCTCTGAATCTTAAACCTTGAGCCAAAACAGGTCTCCTGAAAGCCATTTTAAAGTGAAATAACAGTCTAGCTTAATTAGTAAAGAACACATGCCTTAGCATTGTGCTCTTTTAAAGAGCTATCAATGTGAAATCAGCCTTTTTTCCTCAGTTTATTTTTTCTCTCTAAATTTTACTGCTGTTTTATATCGTTGAGATTATATATATACAGCAAAACATACCAATCCAACAGTTCCTATACAATTTTGTGACACTGATTATATTCTGGTTGCATAACCCCTCATTTCCCTTTTCTTGATTGTTCCTCCCTCATTAACATAAATTCACTGCCCCTAAGATCCTATCTAATCTTTCAAGTTGCTATTGTCAGTATGATCCCATATAGGTACTCCTTAAATAAGCATAATGCTCAAGGCAGGCCTTTTACACTAGTTAAGATAAACTACTATTTGGTTTTAAGATGACTTCAGGAGATATTTTTGTTTAAGGTTTAAAGATTACCTGAGGGCAAGAGTTTCAGGGCACCCAACCTCTAAGGCTTCAGAAAGTCAAAAGTTTATGAGAATTTGACATTGTTCTTCATTTCACCCTTGTGATCAGGATTCTTCTATGGAATCTTTGATGAAAATGTTGAGTGATGAATCACAGCCACCTCTAACCTAAGACCAGAAGACTTAGATGGTCTAACACTACCAACTATTCTGACCAGCAACAAAATAGAAGAACCCAGTTAGAATAGGTGAAAAATACAGAACAAAATTCAAATTCATAAAAAAGATCAGACTTACTGGTCTGACAGAGCCTGGAAGAACCCTCAAGACTATTGCCCTAAGACAACCTCCTAACTTGAAAGTGAAGACATTCCTAAAGACCATTTTTTAACTGAATAATATACTGACCTATAAAATAAACAGTGGGAGTTCTGGTAGCATAGTGCCTAAGGCACTTGACTGCTAACCAGAAGGCTGACAGTTCAAACCCACCAGCCACTGCTCCGAAGGAAGGTTGGGCAATCTACTTCCCCAGTGATACCGCCTCAGAAACCTAAGGAGGAGTCTCTATGAGTCAGGTCTGACACAATAGCACACAACAACAACAAATAAACAACACCTGGGAGAAGTGTTCCTTAGAATAATCAACTGTAAGAGACTGTACGGGTCTCTTATATAGCCTATCTATGTCCACAAGCAAAGATGAGAAGATAGGAAAAAGGAAACTGAACAAATGGATACGGGAACCCGAGGGTGGTAATGCGGGGGGGTGCTGACATATTTGCAGTTATCACAACCAATGGCATGAACAATTTGTTTATGAACTACTGAACAGAAATTAATTTGCTTTGTTAACTTTGCTCTAAAGCACAATAAAATGTTCTAAAAGAAAAAAAAAAGGTTCAGTAGCTGGGCATCATTTAGTTCTGATCTCATGGCAAAGGAGGTGGTTGTTCAGAGAAGCAATTAGCACATTCCACATCCTCTTCTTATTCCTGACTCTCTTTATTCTTCTGTTGTACCATGTGAATAGAGACCAATTGTTCAGCATCAGATGGCTGTTTGCAAACTTTTAAGACTCCAGGCACTACACAATGAACTAGGAGGTAGAACAGAAGCACCGAACACATTATTAAGGCAATTAACTGGGATGTCCCATGAAATTATGACCCTAAAACTCCAAACCAAGGAATCAAATCCCATTAAGTGTTTGGTTGTACACAAACAGCCCCAGGAATTATTATTATTTTTTGGTCTTTGCTGTGAATACATCTATCATACAATTTATATGTGCCATTTTGACAACAGCAATTCCAAACTCTAAAAGTTGTATTTTAAGGTCAGTTAGTAATTACTTGAATTGTTATGGAATCCTGCATGTCCACAAGTTCTTCTGTAAACACTATTCTGCCCTGTTTCCATGGCAATGTATAATTACTAGTGATAAACTAGGGTATAAAAATCTGTGAAAGGTCTTTCTTTTTTGGAATTTACTTGGAAATATTGCTCCAATTTGCAAATCATATATTAAATAAAGTTAATCGACTTCTATTATTGGCTTAATATTATTTTAACAGAAGGGACTCCAATGGCACCACAGGCCTATGACTAAAATGCTAATTCCACTGGTGTTGATTCCAACTCATACTGACCCTACAGGACAGAGAAGAACAGCTCCATAGGGTTTCCAAGGCTGTAAATCTTTATGGAAGCAGATTGCCACGTTTCTCCCGTGGAGCAGATGGCAGGTTCACACTGCTGACTTTTCACTGCAGCCGAGCATTTTAAACTGTACCACAAGGGTTCCTTCTATATAGATATCGTTGACCCTTAATCTAATGCTTAATATCCTATCCCCCAAAAAAGTAAAACACACTGCCATCAAGTCAATTTCAATGCACAGCGACCTCCACTGGGTTTCCAAGGCTGTAAAGCTTTACAGGCACAGATTACACCTCATTTTCCACCCACAGAGGGGCTAACGGGTTTGGGTAAGTCAAATAAATGCCTTACACACTATATCACCAGAGCTCCTTAGTGTAACTACTGTTAATTTTTTTTTTTTAACATCTACTTCCTCACCCTGAAGCAGAGCTTAATCTACTAGTTGAACTTCTTAAATACTTTTTCTCATGAAACTACTTTTCACGGCCATTAAAGATTTCTTAATGTTAAGTGGCTTTTATTAAAACTGTTCATTCTCCATTCCACTTGCCTTCGCTGCACCACTGCAGCACAGACATTATCTACCACTTATTCCTTGCCTCTTGAAACTACCTGCTCTTTTCCTTAGTCTTCTGCTCTCCAATCTCTCTATCTGTGCTGCTCTTTCTATGACAATGGAATCGTTCTATACTGGTGCTGTCCAACATGGTAATGACTACCCATGTATGGCTACTGAGCATTTGAAATGTGGCTAGTGAACAAGGAGCTGAAATTTTATTTACTTTTTATTAATTAAACTTTAAATAGCCACATGTAAGTACCAGATAAGACAGCACAGTTCTATAGGCTACAGTCTATACCAATCTCCACGTGCCTAGAGAATTCACTCACAGAAGCACTGGCATCTCTCCTGAGCTCAAATCCAAGATTGCAGCTGCCTACAGTCCAGATAATTCTTCTTCTTCTTCTTTTTTTGAAGAATTGATGCCTTTGAATTATGGTGTTGGCAAGTAATACTAAAAATAATACCATGGACTGTCAGAAGAATGAACAAATCTATCCTGGAAGAAGTACAGCAAGAATGCTTCTTATAAGCAA